CCCTTCCACCCAGCCCCGCCGCCGCACCGGCAGCGCCGCATTGGCGACGGCGCCCTTGGCCAGCAGGTCCCTGCAGGCCTCATCGTAGATTTCGAGGTACGAGGCCTCGACAAAGTAGTCAAACCCCTTGGCGCTGGGGACCCGGCGCTTGCGGGCCACGGCCTCCCCTGCGTGGAGAGGCAACAGGCAGACTGTATGAGCAGAGCCACAGCCGAGGGGCGCGGCTGCCGCATGCCTGTGCTTCGAAATACCCGAGCCAGCCAATCTTGTTGTGTCATGCTTGGTCGTGTAGCGGGCGGCACCGGCTACGTATCTGCCGGCCCCCTGGCCTTGCCCCCAAGCCCCCTCGCCCCCAGCTCGCTCCTCCAGACACGCCCGCCACGGGCCGCCCCCTTTCCATGCAGCCTGCGCACCAACGAGCACCGCCTTTCCGTGAATGAGCTCGAACAGCTCGTCTGCTGCCGAGTGCACCAGCCCGTCCCCGTCGGGGCCGCCACGCGTGTCGCGGCCGCGGGCGCCCTCGAGAGAAGTCGTTTTGCCCGAGCCTGGTGTGCGTGCGTGCGTGCGTGCATGCGCGCGTGTGTGTGTGTGTGTGTGTGTGTGTGTGTGCGTGTGTGTGTGTGTGTGCGCGCGTGCGTGCACGTGTGCTGCGGCTGATGCCCGCAGGTGGAGCTGGCGGACGCGAAGACGGAGCCGCGACAGCTGTTTGATTTGCGACCGTTCGACGCGGCGTCAAATGTTTTGTTTACAAGTGCTGAATCAGTGCTGCACCGCGCTGCATCCGGCCCACCAGTGGCGCCAAAGAGGATGATTGTGACATGGTATCCCTCCACCAGCTTGCGCAGCAGCGGTGCCACGCTGCGCGCGTGGACGTCAGCGTTGCTCGCCTCTGCGCCGTACACGAAGGACAGCTCGTACTCATCCTCCCTGCGAGAAGTTCAATTCGTGCGTGTGGGCAGACGAGACTTGATTCGGCGGTAATCTGGTGCAGCACACACTGCTGATGAAGGGCAGCATGCGAAGCAGCCCATGCGGCCTTGTCCAGCGGCCGCGCCGCTGCGCATCCATGGTGACATCACAAACACCTTGTTTTCTGCCACATACACGCGTCCAACTCACGGTTTGGCCTGCAGCAAGCCAGGGCGGACGATGGACACCCGGTTCCGGGCTGAGTTGATGTCCTCGCGGGCACCTGATTCATTTATGATGTCATTTTTGCTACAATGATACATCACAAACACGATGTGATCTGCACGCTGATCCAGCCCGCGCCCTCACCCACCCTGCGTGCCGCCGTGGATCCTGGCGACGCAGTCTATAGGGACTCCTCGTGGTGTTCTGGTCCACTCGGGGCGGCCCACGCCCTTGCTGACGGCAGTCGTCATCGCCGCCAACGCCGAACTCCCCGCTGCCAGTTCATGCTGCAAATCAACATCACCATGCAACGTGCTGCAGCTAACAATAATCTGTTGCAGTGCGCTTTGAAAATTGATGCTATAATTATGGCCAAACTGTACAGCATGCCATTTTCTTCGTTTCCCGTGCTTGAACGACTTTGCTTTGACCATGTTTGACCATGATTTATTCTTGGCACCGACACATCCACTACTTCCATTTGAGTAGACTTGAATTTGATTCTTGGGTAAAATTGGTGGTTACATGTTCCACCTTGAGGTCATAAACCAGTGATGACCTGGACCCGTACAACTGGAGAAAAACACAACCCAAAACTCGACCAATCACACTTTGCACAGAGCGGAGCTGTGTCAGGCCCACTTGGTACCCATCACACATACTGATGCTTTGAGTAGGCACTATATTAAGAAGGCATCAGGACTCGGTTTGTCGGCATAAACGCCATGCTGCCTAGCGGCACAGCAGAGCGGTTGAGCTTCACTTCATGAGCCTGTTCATGAGCTTGCTAGCGACGCTGCCGCTGCCGCTGCCGTGGCCGCCGCCGGCAGCTGCCCCGCTGCTGCTGCTGCTTGTCCCAGCAGCCATGGCCGACACGACGGCCTGCGTCGCGACCTGCAGCGGCGCACGAGCGACTCGAGTCAATGCCATTTTCCTTGGCATATGATGCAACAACCCAGTAGAGCACATCATTGCATCGATAACACATTCTGACCCTCTGCATTATTTAACAAGAAGATGCGAACACTAGCGTGCCCCACCCACCTTCTTGATCAGCTCGGGGTTCTTCTTGGCAGCCTCCATCGCGTGGTCCACCGCCTTGCTGACTAGGCGCTCCACGGTGCTGCCACCACTCTTGGCGGGGACCGCGCCAGCAGGGGCGTGGCTGCCGGTGCCGCTGCTGCTGCTACTGAGGGCTGCCGCAACCGCCTTTCCCATGAAGCCTGAGAGCTTGGCCTCCATTCCTGGGGTTGGAACGTGGGCCGCGCAGGGCAAGTGGGAGCTGGCTCAGGCAGTACCTCGATGCCAGGCAACGCCGTCCGAGGGGCTAGCTATGTGTTCAAATTTGTCTCTAAAGTGTTTAATCATACTCCCTCAACGTTGGCGCCTCGTACCTGAGCCCTAGCGTGGAGTACGCGGTAGAGGCGAGTACTACAGAGCGGGTTCGAACGCGTGGGTCGGTGTAAGTATGTAGTATTTCATTATACTCCTACATAAAACTCTTCACGGGCTGCAAAGCGCAGGCAGCCGCGAACCTGGCAGCTAGCACGGCGCCCAGTCATCCTTCGAAAGCGAACGTGGGTCTGTTAAAGCCCAGAGTCACGCAAGAAAGATCCCATGATAATGATGCGCCTGTTGTCGCTTGCATCTGCGGCGCGCCCTGCTGCACAGCATTGGATCAGATCATGCAGCACCGGGATAAGCGCAGAAGAGCTCATTTACAGCAAGGGAGTATGCAACCACGATTTATTTGGCCCCCTTGAAGTCAAGCAAATATCCGCAGGTGCGTACAGGGGGCGAGGCATGGTGCAGCAGTGCGGCGCGTCACATGCACTGCGTGGGTGGGGCCACAGCATATGAGCAGCGTTCAGCTTGCCAACCCCGCGTGCAATGAGGCACAGTGTCACGCTTCTGCATGCAGATAAAGGCCGCGGAGTAGCCGCCACCGCAGCCATCGAGCTTGGAGACCTCATCGCATGCGTCCGCCCGGCTGCCGTGCTGCACGGCCCGGTTGACGAGGCGCCCGATGCGCCCCTCCTGGTGCCCCAGCTAATCGCGCTGCGGCCAGAGGCGATACCATTTGGGACTCACGCCGCGCTGCTGCACCTGACGGACGGCTCTGGTGCGCTTGACTGAGGAAACCTGAGGCGGGCAGGCAGCGACGAGTTGCAGCGCAGCTTTGAAGGAGCAGCCTTGAAACGGCTTGGCTCATCTCAGTTACAGCACGCCACAAGCCATGCGCTTGAAAATCCACACAGCATCCTCATATGAGCTGCTGCGCCCGCCCAAAACCCTCGCGCAGACGGTGCAGCTTTGCAGCCCCCACCCCCCTTTTGGGCTCCCGCTGCGACCAGCAGCAGCAGGAGCAGCAGCAGCAGCGGCGGCGGCAGCAGCAGCGGAGACGCGCCCTCGACATCTGGCCGGCCGTGGCCACCCAGCGTCCCCACTTTGGCGCGCATCATCAAGCTCAACGCCTTTGGGGACGACTATGAGGTGGGCCTGCCCGGCTGTGTGTGACCTGGCTGCCCGAGTATGCCTGCAATGCAGCGTGAACAAGTATCGGGAATGTCAGTACATAGAGCCGTCACCCACCGGCCGTCACCCCCCCCGATGTTATCATCTCATGCGCAGGACCTGGCGTCGGCGGCGGCCCGCGGCGCCGGCGGCCGCAGCGTGGTGGGGCTCTGGCCGGGCTTCTCCTACTTCAACCACAGCTGCCTGCCCTCGACGGTGCACTACGTGGTGGGGGAGTCGATGGTGGTGCGCGCGGTGACGGAGATCGAAGCAGGTGCGGCCCTGGCAGCTTCCCCTGGTTTGAGGGGTACCAGTGGCTACTATGTGC